TTATAAAGTGGTATTAACACTTCATGTGATCTTGATTCTATCCCTCTGTTAATGCAGCCTAGCACTGTGTTGCTTTTTTTTGGCAGCTGCAACACACTGCTGGCTTATACTTTAAATGATTGTCCACTAGGACTGCAAGATCCCTCTCACAGTTACTACTATTGAGGTACCATTTATACTGTACTTGTGAATTTTGTTTTTCTTGCCTAAAATGTAGAACCTTACTTTTTTCACCATTAAATTTCATCTTGTTAAATAGTGCCTGATATTCAACTCTGTCAAGATCCTTCTGTATCTTATGCCTATCTTCTGGGGTGTTGGCTATTCCTGTCAGTTTGGTGTCATCTGCAAATCTGATGAGTTCCCCATATATTCCCTCATCCAAATCATTGATGAAGATGTTGAAGAGTACTGGGCCTAAAACAGAACCTTGCGGTACCCCACTGCATATTTCCCTCCATGTAGATGCATTTCCATTGAGGACTACACGTTGAGTGCAGTTGGTCAGCCAGTTACAAATCCATTTGGTGCTGATGCTGTCTAACCCACTTTTTTCTATCTTATCAAGTAATAGGTTGTGGTCTACTTTTTCAAATGCCTTACTGGAATCCAAGTAAATTATATCCACAGCAATCCTCTAGTCCAGTGATTTTGTCACCTTTGTCAAAGAATGCAATAAGATTTTCTGGCATGATCTGTTTTTGACAAACCCATGTTAGCTTTTGGTTTAACTTAAAGCAAATTTAATATTTTATTGATTTAATATTTTTTATTTTAGTATTGTAAGCCATCCAGGGGCTCTTGGCTGAGTTGGGCAGCTATAAATATTGATTGATTGATTGATTGAATGAATGAATAAATGAATAAATAATAATAAATAAAGTTGGCCTACACAGACTAATGATGTAATGCAGATTCTTATATTCTGATACTGTATTCTATAAGAGCTAGTTAAAATCTTGGGCTTTTGCCTTTTTGTTCCTGGGTTAATTAACTTTTGAAAAAAAGAAGAACCCTTGACAGCTACAACAAAGCCCAGGTGTGTTTATCTTTCCATCAAAGAAGCATACTTGAATCTTTCTTTCTAAACATGCTTTCAAAAAGTAACTCTTAGCTTAGCTTAAACACCTTATCTTGGAACTCTTTATAAACTTTTAATTTTGTGAATAAATATGTTCCTTGATTTCATAGTTCTGTGAAAGATGCATTAATTGGCATTTTTGCAAATGCAACATTTTATTTTAAAAAAAGTTTGTTAGCCTGAAACAAAATTAAATCTACATGTATTGGGATAAAATATATCAATAAATAAATACATACCTTTAGATTAAAATATATTCAGAAATAAAGATGTGTAATAAATGTGTTAACATATATTTATTTTCATTTTTAATTTATATCCTGCCTTTATTGTTTTCTATAAATAACATATCTAATACTCCTTCCTCCTCCTATTTTCACCACCACCACAGCCCTGTGAAATGAGTAGCACTTACAGATAATGACAGCCCCAAGGTCACCCAGCTGGCTTTCATGCCTAAGGCAGATCTAGAACTCACCATCTCCCATTTCTTTGTTAATTGCGAAGTCGTGTCCAACCCATCGCGACTCCATGGACAATGTTCCTCCAGGTCTTCCTGTCCTCTACCATCTTCTGGAGTCCATTTAAGTTCACACCTACTGCTTCAGTGACTCCATCCAGCCATCTCATTCTCTGTCGTCCCGTTCTTCTATTGCCCTCAATCTTTCCCAGCATTAGGCCCTTCTCCAGTGAGTCCTTCCTTCTCATTTCAACTTCAGGATCTGGCCATCTAAAGAGCAGTCGGGGTTGATCTCTTCTAGGACTGACCGGTTTGAACGCCTTGCAGTCCAAGGGACTCGCAGGAGTCTTCTCCAGCACCATAGTTCAAAGGCCTCAATTCTTTGGTGCTCAGCCTTTCTTATGGTCCATCTTTCACAGCCATACATTGCAACTGGGAAAATCATGGCCTGGACTATACGCACTTTTGTTGGCAGGGTGATGTCTCTGCTTTTTAGTATGCTATCTCCCATTTCTAGGCTAGACCAAACTGTCTCTCTCTTAAATAATGATGTAAGAATTTTCAGAAATAAATTGGAATACACTTATAAATGAATACATGAAATATAAGAGATTATTTCCTGGTCCATCCATTTTCACTTTGAAGCAAGTTACTGAACAACTGGGTTTTTTTCTCCCAAGTGTACTTCTATACAATTATCTAGCTGTATTGTGAAGCCAGTGGCTACATTCTCATATTGCATATGAAGTAATTGGGGTCAACACATTCTCCTAAAATACACCCATACATTCCTACATGTGACTAGTGTAGGAGATGACCTGACAACTAGAATGGCACTGCCTGCAAGCCACCCATTCTCACTCCTAGAATTCCTTAGTAGATGGGATCCATATCAGGTTTCTTCCACTAGCATGAGTGGGGTGGATTAGTCCCCTTGGGGAGAGACAACTCCTCAAATACCCTGGATCCATGCCGTGCAGAGTTTTAAAGGTAGCAATCAAACTTTGAATTGGATGCAGAAGCAAACTGGAAGCCAATGCAGCTCATACAGTTGCTGCATTATATGTGCAGCCCTAGGGGCTCCCAGGATTGTGTGCGCCACTGCATTTTGCACTAGCTGCAGCTTCCAAATACCTTCAAGGGTAGCCCCATGTAGAGCACATTGTTGTAATCCATACGAGAGATGAAGGGCACAGGGTCTTGAGATCCAAGTAAGGGCTCAACAGGTGCACACCATTGATATGGGTTACAGAATCTTGAAAGACTGACAGCATTGCCTTTTTTCCTCCTCTTAGATTAAAGAGCATCAAAGCACAAGCATTTTCAGCTTCTTTCTAATATCTTCCTCCTTTCCTGGGCTTAATTCATGTTTTGCTAACTGCCTCTATTGCATTCTTTCTCCAAGGTAGTTTCTGTGGTTCTCTACAAATGAATCAAAAGTCAATGCCTTTAGATTTCTTACAGACTCCCAAAACACTGCATAAGCTTGTCTGAATTTTTAAAAGAGTTCATAAAAGTTCTTCTGTTGGCATCACCAGCCCTGCCTTTAGGAGGAATGAGATAGTTCTCTCAGGTAATAGACACTGGAAATCAGGAAATGTAATTAAGTGATAGAAGGCATAGTTGTGCATGCCACACAATTAATTCTGTAGCCAGAAGCTACTCTGGCCTGTTCATATACATATATAGCAGTCTGTTAAACTTAAGCGTTCTGGTAATTTTATATGGATTTTGAAAGAAATTCTGTTTTTATGTTTCATGTTTTTCTATTAACAAATTGTAGAATGGTGCAAAATATGTCTAATTTATAGTATTTGCCACAATTAAAATATTAAAATAAATCTTTCAATCTAACCTTTTTAAGTTGAAGCAGAATTCCCAAAGAAGAGTAGGGATCTTCAGCAGCTATTAAATAGGTCACTCTAGTAAATGTGAACAAAAATTTCATAATATGTAATCTTATGTGATCAGATTTAGACATAGTTAAAATTGAAATGGTCTTAGACTCTGACATAAAAAAACTAAAAAAAATCAAACTGACATGTACATTTAAAGTTTTGTGGTCTTGTGATTTATCCAGCATGTGGTTAATGAGTAGTCCTTGGTAATCATGCATAAAGAAAAATATGCACCTCTGGTTTTGCTATCTTAAGTTATTACCACTAATAGGCACCATCCACATGTCTTGAAATCTATTTTCTGTGGTATTTATATTCGCAGTATTATTGTTTAACTTACATTCTCTCCTTTATTTTTGCAAGCAACGACCTGTTTCACTGAAAGAAATTATAGAGAAAGCAGAATAACAGGAAATGAGAATCTGCTTTTCAGTTGCCAGGGGTATGGGGAGAAATTTTGTATTTGCATAAATGTTTTAGGGCATGGTTTATGGGGTATTGCATACTTTTTGAAGTTTCAGTTACTGATAAATAATACTGATGCTAATGAGGATTGAATTTTGGACCCGAAGTGATAAATTGCATTAGTGTATTTCATTATATAAAATAAGAAAATATGTGAGACTTCTGCAGAAGCCAAGGGTGCTAGATATAATTTTTCCAGCAAATTATAATCATTAATCAATGTTGAGGATATTGGGAGTTGGAATTTACTTTCACTTAAAAAAAGCAGCCTTTCCTCAGTCTCTAGCTTTGGAAGGGATATGACCAGTTTACTTAGGAACCATTTTCAGTGAATGACAAATAAGAGCAAATGCAAAAATGGACATCTTTAATTGCTAGGGTGTGATTCAGAAAAAGATACTCTTGTTTAAGATAAAGCATAGACCTGAAAGATAATGGTGATGTTAATTTTCAAATAAAATATCAGGCATAATAGTATTATCATCGATACTACAGAACTGCAGGGTAAGAATTCAGCCTTAACACTTTAAGCTTTACCTTGCTGGCCAAGTCTGCATACATAGCAATGTAATAAATTAACATTGGGGAAAAATCATTGTGAACATTCATTTTAAGTCTTACAATGTATCGATCATCCTGAACCTGCAATAAGTGCTAAAGTAATAGTCTACCTTATCTAACTTTTCATAATAACTAAATTAAATAATGAATAAATAAATTGCTCCCAGCCTGTTATCTTTCATATTTCCTGTTGGGATTTCAAACCCCAACAAGACCCCCAAAAATGGCTAAGAGGTATGGTATATTTGTGTGAGTTATAAGAACAGAAGGCCAAATGTATGTGGGAACACAGGAAAGTCCCTTATTTAAAGTCATTAACATTAGAGATGGGCAAAATTTGCTGCTGCAATGCTGTTCCAATCTCAAAGAGTTATTTTGAAAAAGACCATTTAGAATAGTCAACTGCAGTTGAAAGAGCCCATTTCGATTTCAAGCCAGTTACTCTGAATTAAGAACATTTCGTGCACTGCTTATTAAGAGCGCTAAATGCTTTATTATAATCAGACATGATAGAAACTTTTCTTTCCTGTTTCAGGGAAGAGCTTCACACTGACTATCACAGTCTTCACAAATCCTCCACAAGTAGCCACGTACCATAGAGCTATCAAGATAACAGTGGATGGACCTCGAGAACCAAGAAGTAAGTAATCAAAAAACACTGTTGCTCTCTTCAATTATTCAAGCTTTATGCAGTGAAGGGAAGATAGAGATGAGCCTGTTGATCCTGTCTCTCTATTTTTTGCCCATTAGCAGCCTTTTTGCCTCTCAATATTTGAAAGGGAATATCTACATCAAGGGGGTTCTGTAGTTATTTCGGCTATCCATGTAATCTGTTTATATACAATTAAAACTCTCGTCGTGACCTTTAACTGGGCAAAACAGTACATCATAGGGCAGGGGTGTCAAACTCGCAATGTCACGTGATGTGTTGTGACGTATTGCGATTTTTTTTGCCATTGCCGGCAATGGGGTGGGTGCAGTTTTGCTATGATGCATCTGGCCTATGGGCCGGCAGTTTGACATCCCTGTCATAGGGCAACAATTTTTGAACCAAAGTATCTCAAAAGGAATAACTTATAGAATGTCTCCAAAATCCAGGACCCATGACTCCCAAGGGAATTAATTTGGGGAAATGGTGGCTGCTTCAGTGCTACTAGCTGCTGTTGCATTGCTGGACTGCTGCTACATTTGCCCAATCTTCATTTTCAATGTTCTGTGACCATTTTCCAGCTAGTCTTGCAATCCCTTACTCCTTCTTCCATCCAGCAGCAGCCATTTACCTGCTGGAAGGGAAGGGAAGGGAAGGGAAAATTCCAATGTTCCAAACTCATTGGGCAAGTCAGCAGGAAATCAGAAGACACTCTTGCTCCCACTGTTTTTTTTTTTTTGCCCACCTCAATCGTAAGTAAATTACTCTGAAACGATGAGCCAATAGGGCATCAAATGTCTAGTTCAGAAATAAAGATTAGAGCTCTAAAAATAGTAAGAGCTTACATGATTTGAGAAAGCTCCATACTAAATACACACATGCTGCATACATACTAGGGACAAAGCGTACTGATGAGTGAGGGAAGTGAAGTCAGGGCACGCACTTAGTTCTCAGTCTCATGATGAGTTGTGTGAAGAGGGAACATAGAATGAGGATTTTAGTCACAGAATTTTGTACAGTAGAATATTTTGTTCTGTTCAGTAAAGGGTTTAAATTAGGCTTAGTAAATGCTATACATATTGCTATACACAATTACCTGGTAGAAAGACTCTGTGAATTTAATGGATCATATTTCTGAATAGAAATATGTGCGTTGCTAATTGCACTATTAATCTTCATGTACTTGATCATCTTCTTTGACATATAATATTGCAATTTTTAGCAAGTCGGTGTGGATCTCCAAGGGCAGTCACCAATGACTGAGAGGCCAAGGTGTTCATTCTTGTTACAAGGTTCTAAATGTGTCACTACTATGGAGAAGAATATAGTGGGAGCTTGTTGAATGAGGGAAAAAAATCTGATAAACCTTTTACTCTAAACTCTGTACTGCATGCAAAAAATTGAAGTTGTGGGATAAAAGAAGCCATGCACATTATTCAGCATTTCCTGCTCATTTTGCTTTCGCTTTGCATAGGAAATTTAATTTTAGAAACAAAATAGCTCTGTTTGTCCTCCCGTTAAAGCTGGCAAATAGAACAGAATTGAAGGAGGAGATGAGGGAGCCAGAAAACATGCAGTTGCTTTTATATGCAGTTTATTGTCTCTCCTGCAAGTTAGGAAAACAGTAATTGTTGAGGGCAGGCAGCACTTCAAGGAGACAGATGGAATTTATTCCGCTGAGGCACAGATTTTCTCAGACGTGCCTGCCAAATTAAGAATGAGTAAATAATAAATAATATCTCGAGGGATGCATCCAGAAGATACATAAGCATAGTGTTAGAACACCTCTTTCCCCCCATCCAGCCAATACATTGCTGAGCCTGTGCAATGTTCCCTTGTTATTACCCAAGACAATAATTAACCTCAGTGTAGAATGTTCGTATTTGAATCAAAATATCTTCTTGTAAGTTGAGGTTTGTGGTTTTCTTTGCTTACTCCTCCCTCACATTTGGCAGAGGTTGCAACTATAGCTTAAGAAAAGTCAAAATGAGGGGAGTAGAGAAGTAGTTGCTCATGGAAATGACAACATTACAGTAAAGAACAGAAGAGCCAGCGGGTGTGGTAGTTAAAGTATTGTACTTAGACTGAGGAGACTGTGTGCGGGTCCTCATGTGGCCACTCTGCTCACTGGTGATTTTAAACCATTGATTCTTCCTTAACCCAACTTACCTGACAGTTTTGTTGGGGGGGGGAGCCTATTAAAGAGCTATCAATCAAATCTACACAGAAATTGAAATTGTTATTCACGAAAATGGATGCATGCAATTTCACCACATTAAATAGAGTTATGTTTCATACTGTATAATCTCTTATTGTTTATATAAATAGTTTTAAATTGACGTGATTTATTTTCATACACAGCATGAGTTTCTATGCATATTTGCATTTGGATTTGGAATGTACACTATTATTAGGTTATGTGACATCAAGGTCCTATTTTTAAAACTTTGAGCATCAATACATTTTCTCCAATCTTACCCATACTTTCTATACAAATATAGAAGTTCACATATGTAGGAATATCTTGAGAATCTGTAAGCTGATCTACACAAACTCTGTGTGTGCGTGTGTTTGCACATGCTTTCCTGCTTTCCTCTCTTTCATTATATATCCAGCTCGTTTTGGGAGCACCTTCTTCCTATCTATAGTATATTGTTCCTGCATTCAGTTGTTACTGGGACAGTAGGGGCACATTGATTGCCTCTTTGAACATTATTCTGAATGTTTGGGATAAAGGGCAAAAGTGTTAGCAGCAGAGCATTCTTTTTCTATTTCAGAAAATTATATATCTAGCTAGATAGCATTAACTAAATAACATGTACTTACTTGTCTGGTAATTCTCATGCCCACAGTCTTCTTTTGTTGTAAATCATCTAGTATCATTTGAAAGAATTATCTTAAAATATACAGTAATAGATCTCAGGAACAAAATTGGTGACCTGAAGTAAGTGCAGGATTTCAGATAGTAGCTTTTTCTTAAAAAGTATTTTAGAGATAATAAACATAATAATAAAATTATACTGATGATGTAAAATGGAAACTTTTCTACATCTGTAGTTGTTCTGGGGGAGAAGTAATTTCTGAATCACACTAGGGGCATATCTTTGCTGGGCCCAATTTGTACTGGCAAATTAACCCCAATATCTTCCTTTCAAGTGTGAAACACATCAGCCTTTATAAACAACCTTAAAATAGATGTATTTGTCTCCTTCCTCCCCAAATTGAAGCATGTTTCAAAATGTAATTTAGGTAGTAGAAAAAGTAGTTTTTATGTAAAATTAATAGAAGCTCTCCCATGGCATTCTTTTTTCTCAATGCAAGTACATTTTGAAAACATTTGAAACTTGAATTCATTCTAACTGGATGCATGATCTGGAGAAATTGTCAGAATGACATTATTTTCCATAATAGTAAAGTTATGGAGCTACTTTTCTCTCAATAGAGAAAACTTTTCTATGATTAATATTTTGAAGAAAATGACCTCCTAAATCAAGAAATCTATCAAATGTATATGGTCCATTTAGCTATTTCTCCCACTGATTCCAATTATAGCATCCCTCAATTACTAAAATATATTTTGTATCATTGATTATTTTAATCAGCGCAATTCTAAAGCTCTTCATCATAACTTATTATACTGGAATAGTACAAAAACAGTTATGAGAAAGAAATCCGGCATGTAGCATATGAGTGTATATGCAGATTCTGAACTGAATATAATTTTATAGATGTCCTTTTAGAGATAAAAATAACTAGTATTTGGATCTCAAGCTGATCATACATTGGGGAAAATGTTGGTTGTTTTAATTTATAGACCACCCTATCCTTGGGACAGAATTTAGTAAAATCCAAAATATTTTCATGTATAAAGGGGATATATGGGGATAGATCAAATTTGCAGATGATATCAAGCTGGCAGGAATAGCCAACACTCCAGAAGACAGGCTTAAGATACAGGAGGATCTTGACAGACTTGAACAATGGGCACTAGCTAACAAAATGAAATTCAATGGTGAAAAAAGTAAGGTTCTACATTTAGGCAAGAAAAACCAAATACACAGGTACAGTATAGGTGGTACCTTGCTCAGTAGTAGCAACTGTGAGAGGGATCTTGGAGTCCTAGTGGACAATCACTTAAATATGAGCCAGCAGTTTGCTGGAGCTGCCAAAAAAGCCAACACAGTGCTAGGCTGCCTTAACAGAGGGATAGAATCAAGATCACGTGAAGTGTTAATACCATTTACAATGCCTTGGTAAGACCATACTTGGAATACTGCATCCAGTTTTGGTCACCTCCATGTAAAAAAGATGTTGAGACTCTAAAAAGAGTACAAAGAAGAACAACAAAGATGATTAGGGGACTGGAGGCTAAAACATATAGGGAGTGGTTGCTGGAATTGGGTATGTCTAATTTAATGAAGAGAAGAACGAGGGGTGACATGATAGCAGTGTTCTAATATCTCAGGGGTTGCCACAAGGAAGAGGGAGTCAAACTATTCTCCAAAGCACCTGAAGGCATGACAAGAAGCAACAGATGGAAACTAACCAAAGAGAGAAGCAACCTAGAACTAAGGAGAAATTTCCTGACAGTTAAAACAATTAATCAGTGGAACAACCTGCCTCCACAAGTTGTGAATGCTCCAACATTGGAAGTTTTTAAGAAGAGACTGGAGAGCCATTTGTCTGAAATGGTATAGGGTTTCCTGCCTGAGCAGGGGGTTGGACTAGATGACCTCCAAGGTCCCTTCCAAATTATTATTATTATTATTATTATTATTTAGATGTGAACCTCAGTCAACTGAACATTCAAATTGACTGGCGCTGATGGTTGACACTGGTTGCTGCCAGCATTATTATTATTATTATTATGGATCATCGCACAGTCAGCCAGATGTTCAGACTGGATTTGGCATTTTGTCTACCTATTGAGTCCTTACCCAGGACCTGGGATAGGCAGATGTGGATGTTTGATGGTATTACAGATATCGTCG